ATCTTAACAGAGAACAGATTATCAGACTTCTATAATACAAGCTACACACTCAGATATGATGAATCTAGATTTGAATGTTATTGCTAATGTGCTGAATTCTCTGAGAAAGAAATCCTCTGAGTGAAAATCTGAGTGTCATGAGCATTGAGCTTGCTTCAACTATGAATGCCAGAATCATGATACAAAGAATTATACACAGTGTGCACAGTTAAGAGAAGCAAGAGAGTTAAAAAACTAGCAGAATCAGTGAGCTCAGAGACACTCACTGATATTCTATGAAAAGTTTTCAAAGTAAAAGAGATATCTGTGTTAGATAACTCTCTGAATTCTGTGAATGTCAAGAGAAAGCAGGCTTCTGAATGAGATGTGAGTGAGAATGAAGTGAATACTCATCTCAATACATTGAGACCTGAAATATTAATGTATAAGAAGCACTTGAATAAGAATTAAGAGATGACTGCAAAAGTGTTAGCAGACACAGAAGTATCTATATAATATATTAGTAATTATATAATCTGAAGACTGAAAGAGATCTGCTGAGTGAAGAATCTCTGATATATAAGATTGTCTGATAACTGATATTTGATATTATCTGTAAGAGTAAGAGTTCTCTTACACTTTGAAGAATGATCTTACTATATTTGAGCATGAGAGCTGCAGAACATGAAATACAATCTTATTCTTGAACTTGATTGATTTCAAAGATTCAATCTGCAGATTCAATGATGTATATATCATATACAGTTAACTGATAGAAAGAAAATAGTTCATATAATTCTATCAACTGATATGAGAAGAACATTTCATGTCTCTGATATAAAAGAATTAAATGTGCTTATACATCAATAAGCAAAGAGAATGATTTGTAAGATCTCATCTGAAAGCATTCTGTATATCATACAGAATCTGAAAGTGAAGAAAATCAAGATAAAGAATATATAGAAGAATAAGTGTATGAAGAAGCTTCTGAAGAAGTATGAGAAGATCTTCTGAACAGATCTTTCATCAGAATTACTGCTGAAATGAGGATTTGTACATGAGATTGACACAGAGAACATGAAATCAGTCAATCAGAATGCATATTCTCTGTCACAAATGCATCTTGAAGAACAGAAGTGTTAGATCACAGACCTTCTAAAACATGATCTCATACAACTCTCATCAAGTGTGTGAGGCTTTTCAGTTCTATTTATAACAAAGATAGATGAGGAGTGACAGATGTGTATTAATTATTAAGCACTTAACAAGCTTATAATCAAGAATGAATATTCACTGTTATAAATTCAACAACAGTTAAATACAGTTAAAAACATCTGATATCTATTAAAGATTGATCTTCTCTTGAGATACTGATAGATCTGTATAGATGAACTGTCAGTACTGTGAACTGCATTTAATATATAATAAGAGAAGTTTGAATTTCTGATAATGTTATTTATTCTGATAAATGTGTCTGTTATCTTTTAAACAATGATGAATATAATTCTTTATAAACAGAATGAAACCTCATATCTTGTATATCTTAATAACATTCTAGTCTTTTCAAACTTATATAATGAATATCTGAAGTTTCTTGATAAAGTGCTTATAACTCTGACAGAGTATAAGCTCTACATTAAATTAATAAAGTATGTGTTTGAAATAGAAGAGTTGAAGTTTATAGAATATGTAGTAAGTGATAACTGTATATATCTTATTTCAGAGAAATTGAATGTTGTAGTGAATTAACTGTGACTGAGAAATATACACTATGTACAATAGTTTCTTGAGTTGATCTCATATTACTGCAGATTCATTAAGAATTTCATATAAATATCTGCATCACTCTCAGATCTCTTAAGAGAAACAGATATAAATCTGTGAAAGAAGAAGTTTTGTTCAATCATCTGAAATATCATGTATAAAGAGGCTTTTCTCACACTGAGAGAATATATAACAACATTCTCAGTGCTTATTCAATCAGATTATGATAAACCTTTCTACATTGAGATGCATGTATCTGAATAAGCTATCAGAGACACTCTTCTATAAATAGATAAGAATAACAAGCTGCATCTGATGATGTATGATAGTAGGAAACTGTTAGATACTGAGCACAATTACTCAGTATATGAAAAGAAATTGCTAGCAATCAAGCATGTGCTGATGTTATGAAATAGATATATCAATAATAAGTATATAATAACAGTGATCATGAATTATAAAAGTCTTATCTATCTACAATTAATGATAAAACCTTTTAAATACTTAGCATGTTGAATCTCAGAGTTTCAAGTGTACAATCTTAATATTAAATACTGAAAGAGATTGAATACTGTGATATCTGATACAATCAGTTGCAGATCTGATTTCATGAGTGAGAGTTCTGTGAATCAGATACAAGAAAAGTTTGTATTAAATACACTGAGAGAATGTAAGGAATTAGAATGAGTGAATACAATGATCTCTCACTTGAAGAATGATAAGATGTCAGATGACAAGCATCTTATGAAAGTAGTAAAAGAGATGCTTTCAAACTTGAAGCTGAGAAAATTGAAAAATGATGTTATACTTTACTGTAATTCAGAATACATGAAAGCTCTGTATCTAGAACATTTATTTAGACATGACTTGATGACTCACATGCACAAGAAATTCAGTCACTTAGAAAGCTCTGAACTCATGAGTGTACTTGAATCAAGAGTGTACTGATTAAGCATGACTGAGAATATTCAGATATACACTCATAAGTGTCTGAATTGTCAGATTGTGAAAGAATCTAAGAAAGAGTTAGAATGTGAGAAAGTGTAACATTAGATGAAATGTACAATACAACTGTTTAAATGATGAGAGATGAATCTTATAGACATACTGTCACAAACATCAAATAGAAATTGATAAATAATCACTGCTATTAATTACACTACTGACTGACCAGTTGTGAAAGCAGTTTCAGAAATAATAGAGAAGAGAATAATGAAGTTTCTACATAATAAGATCTATATCAACTATGAAATACTGCATGAGATTCTAACTGATAATGATGTGAATCTTGTAGAAGAAGCAGTGAGGTATTTTATAAGTCAGTTATAAATAAGATATTATAGAATAACATTATATTATCTGCAGATAAATGAGAAGATGAAACACTTGAATGAAATCTTGAATAACATACTGATAAAATATTCAGTGAGTAAGTTAATATAATTATGAGATGAATATCTTGATCAGGTACTATTAGTCACATGAATTCAGCAGTATATAGTCTTCAAGTGTTCATCATTCTATTTATTGTATGAATTGCATTCATGCATTCTGAAGAATGCTTCAGAAAAAGTGAAGAAGAAAACAGTGATTATGAATGCATCAGTTGCAGATGCAGCAGAAACAATAGTTATGAATACAACAGTTGCAGATACAGCAGTCACAGATGCAGAATCAAGATTAAAAGAGATCAGTCATGCATGTACAAAAGCTAATGAGTTACTTCTGAACTGAGCAATTTAATTGAAAAGAATATAAGACTCACTAGTTAAGAAATCAAGTCTCAAGATAGAAATATAAGTTCTCATACACAATGAGAGCTCTGAGAAGTTTCAACCAAGGTGATTTGAGTTATATAAAATACTTAAATCACATTCTCTGAAAACATACACATTGAAAGAATCAGAGGAATAAGTCTTATACAACTTAATAAATGATTCATATTTTATAAAAGTAAAGATGTAAGATCTGAGCAGATTATAATCATCTACAGCACTATTATCAGTGTTGAAAAAGAAGAGACTTATAATTAAAAAGTCTTATGAAGTAAGAGAAATCATAGATGCTTATGAATCAGATGATTTCACTTATTCTGATCTTTTCATAATTATAAGAAAAGAATGAGAAGAAATGAAGAAATCAGATAAATATCATACTTTAATAAGTAATGAGACTATAGTCAGTTGTATAATAAGACACTGCAGACAGTGAATATAATATAGTAAAGAGCAGTCTCAGAGCAGCAGACTTACACATAAGTCAGATTACAGAAGAAAAAGAAATTCAGAGTTGAATTTGACTGTTTACACTAGTTCAATTACAAAGACAACAGAGAATGAAGCATCTGAAACATCTGTGAATGCATGAAATTAAGTCATCTTAATTTCTGAGAACACTCAGAGATTGAATGAGATTAGTTTTAATAAGCTGTTTACTGTAGTAGTCTGAGCAGGTGAAGAGAGATAGTATAATGTATAAGACAGAATTATAAGAGATGAAAGCTGCTGAATCTAGTCACTGAATACTGTATTATATAGAGATCATGTAAGAGTAGTAGCTAGCAGATAAAGAAAAAGTGTAAGAAAAGAAAAGAAATAATGAATTAATTATCAACTGTAAGAGTCAGCTGTAAAAGACAAATATTATCATATATATCTCATTCATTTTCATACATCATATATTTAATCTATTTTCAATGTCATATCATCTGAAAAATGTCAAAAACAAAGAAAATCTCAGAACTTGAGATTTATAAGAAATTTAAGAGCTGCAAGCTACTCTCACAATAACACTGTGTATGTCTTCAATTTCTCTATCACTCTGTGTATGATATTAGTATCATTGATCACAAGATTGACTGAAATGCTAATATAGAAATATGTACATGTATATGTAGAAAAATTGAAGAAGAGTGTGAGACTCACAGAATCAGAAGTCAAGACAGAGAAAATGAAGATAGAAGAAATGAAAGAAGAAGAGAGTGTAGAACTGAATAAATAACAGTGAGAGCTACTTGAAATTGAATGCTTATAATTCAGTGTACACACAATCTTCTCTGCAGAGAAGAGAGAGAAAGTGATGAAAGAAGCTTAAGAGTGAGAGAAGATAGTCTTGACAGTGTAATCATCTTTGATTAGAATGATCTCTGATGCTGAAGTAACTAAGAATCATTGTTAGTGTATGAGAACTGCAAAATCAGAGATGAGAACAGTTACTGAATGAATATCTACTAGTCTTAGAGTTGTACATGCAATTACAACATGTATGAGACTTTTCAGAAAGAGAGAGAGAGATATGAAATAATATAGAAAGCAGAATACAGTGTGTGAACAGCTCATTCTTATAATAACATCTCAGATAAGATGTATAAGCCTCATATCTGTGAGTATAAAAGAGTATAATATCTGAGTTTCTATTTCTGAAAACACAGATATTCTTCATCTACATCATGAAGTCAGATAACAAATGTTAGAGAATAGACTAATATAGATTAATTATTCTGAAGATATTTATCAGAGTGAATATATCTATAATATTGAATTTAATAATTATAAAAAGTTTCTTAATATCTATGAATATTATAACTTTATGTATAATAAAATCTATAATGATTTTTTCTAAAGACAAGAAAATCAGTGTTAGAAAGAAAAGATAAAAAAAGAAAAGACTTATAATTTTAACACTGTTAAGAAGAGAAGTGATTCTCTGATATAAATAAATAATTATCTTATCATAAATATTTAAAATGAATATAATAATCAGTGTCTGTGACTGAGCTTTAAATAGTTGTATTGTATACAGTCTTTGTATAATAAATTATTTTAGAGATTAGTAAGAAGAGCAGAAGTATATATACTGAGAAATATGATTTATTAAGTCTATACAACATCTTCTTGAAATGAGAAGAGCTGATAATAAAAGTAGAGATGACAGAAGCAGAGAGAGCAGAAGTAGTGAGAGTGAGAGTCACAGAAACAGAGATAGTGAGAGCAGGAGAATCAGACACAGAGACAGATGTAAGAGATTGAGAAGTCAGCATGGCCCAGTTGATAAGACTGATAATCAAGGCTGCACACATTAGAGGTGTGTGGGTTTGAATCTCATCACTGACACTTGCCACTTCTTACCCATGAAAGCCCTCATGTAATAGGGGCTGAGCCTAATTAGTAAGGCTTGATGCAGGGTAGAACTCTCTATTGCAAGCCAAGTCACTAGTTAAGCAAGATTCTGTGAACACTCATCAGAGCTGATATGAGATGCCAATGTCTCACTATTCTACTGTGCACCCATCAAGGTTCTAATGATATAGAGCCAAGCCTAATGTAGTGGTTATACACTACTTAAGTGAGTCTCTAACTAGAACTGTCATTGAAGCCTAGCTCCCCTTCAAATACAGAGAATGATTTTGAAAATCACCTGACTAGCAGGCCTAGACATGCATCTAGGCCCTAGGCAGAGCACCCTGATAGGCTAGAGCCTGCAAGCTCACTGTCAAGCCCTAATACTGGCAGAGAGGACTGCAGTCATCAAGTCTATGATTAGTCTCTAACACAGGGTGAGGCCATGACAGCTGATTGATAGGCCTATGAGCATCTAATGAGACCGAGATCAGCAATCAAAAGCTTGGTGTGTACATCACCAAGTAGGCAGTGACAGCCACTAACTAACATCCCTGGAAATTAGTGGCTGGCCTGAGAGAATAAATGTGATGATCAGTTAATTATAGAGGATTAAATGTAATTAGCTTAAGATGCATTCTGTGGGTGACTAGTGCCTGTAGTCACTTCTCAACTATATTGATGAAAATGACTGAGAATGGCCTGATCTTACTCAAGATGAATTAGAGTCAGCTATCTTCTCAAGTTCAGTTAAAACTGCTGCAGGGCCTGATTCAATTAATCACTTGATTATTCAAAATACATACTTCTACTTAAAGAATGAATATTTTAAGCTCTTTTTTAATCTCTTGAAAAATGAATATCATTCTGAATGCTGAAGAGAAGTCACTGAAGTGATTCTTATAAAATTTAATAGAAAAACTTCAATTCTTAAGTCATATAGAGTAATATCTCTATTGAACTGTTTAGAAAAGATTTTAGAAAAGATAATAGCTACTTAACTATCTTTTATAAGCTCTATCAGTAATTCTCTGTTATTCAGTGAATAAATGAGAGATAGAAAACAGTGTTCTGCAATTAACACTGTTCTCTCAGTTATTCATAATATTCAGATAGCAAAGCATGAAGATCTGGTCTCAACTGCAGTTTTTATTGATATAAAAGAAGTATTTAATCATGTTTCAAAGTCAAAGTTAATTCAGACTTTGAAGATATTAAAACTATCACTTTCTCTAATAAAATAAGTTAACTATTTTATATCTAAAAGAATTATACAACTTTTCTTTGATAAAATGAAATAAGACAAGACTGAGATAAAAATAGAAGTACTGTAAGAATCTTCAATCTCACTCATTTTATTTACAATATACACTGTATATCTATTCAAAAATAGAAATATGAGAATAGTACAATCTCTAAGTTATATGAATGATATTGATCTAGTCTACAGCTTAAAAACTATTAAAGAGAATTTGAAAGTGATTGAAGAAGCTGCAAAGAAAATCTTTGTTAGAGTAGATATCAATTAAATTTAATTTAATATGAATAAAACTGAGTTAATTCATTTCTTTTCTAGATTCAATGAGAAAGAACTATCTCTAACTCTTTTAAATAGAGAGATTAAACCCAGTGTTAATATCAAATGATTAGAAGTATGATTAAACTTTAAGTTGAATTTTAAATATCATATTCAATAAAGAACTGTCAAGGCAGAAAGACTATTGAATAACATAATCAGACTATCAAATATAGAGAGAGGTCTATTCTTCCAGACTATGAGACAGTTATATATAGCCTGTATTATATCAGTAGCTGATTATGAAGTTCAAGTTTGATAAAATAATCAAGAGAATTTCACTGAACTCTTTCAAAGTCTGTAAAACAGAGTCTTAAGAAGAATTCTGAGAGTATTTAAATCATCTTCTATTAAAGCAATGAAAATTGAAGCTTCAATTTCTTCTTCTGCTATTAGATTTGAAAAGACCTGTATGAACTATACTCTGAGAGTTATAAAGATGAGCTTAAATCATATAATCAGAGAAAGAGTCTCTTCTTCATTTCTATCAATTAACTCTGAAAATGAACTGAATTGAAATAGATTTCTTAATTGAAATGAAAATAATTCTTTAAAGAAGATGTCTTCTCAACTGTACAGACTATACTCTCTGATTAAAAATCAATTTTCTTCTTTAAATGTTGAAAAAGTTGATCATGAGAAGTTATCTCTCTGAAGAGAAAAGCTTGAATCTCTTATAGACTTATAAATAAGTGAACTATCTAAAGAGAAAGAATATGAACAGTATTTGAAGAGAATTTCTACAATTAATATAAAAGACTCTATTCTGATTTATTCAGATGACTTAAAAAATGAGAATTTGAATAGATTAGATACAGACATTGCTTATACTGAAGATAATATCAATTTTATCTCAGATTTCTGAAATTTAGACTGTGAATCTGAAGTCTTTGATGCTGAACTATTTGCAATAGTGAAAGCTTTCAAACTCATTGAAATAAAATCTTATAAAAGAGGAAATAGTTTGAAAGAGACATGAATATTCTCTGATAGTCAAGCTGTTTTAAAAAGACTTAGAAATAGTCAGATTTATAATGATTAAATGAATCTTGAACTGATCTTAAACTCTGTTTTAAAAATTTAAAAGAGAAGAATATCAAAGCTGATAATTCATCTGCACTGAGTTTCTGCTTATATGAATATTCATGCTAATGAATTGACTGATTCAGCTGCAAAAAAGAGTGCAGAATTAAGCAGATCTATTCAAAAAATCATGTTCTAGTCTTTTATAAAGAGAGAAATAAAAGAATCTTGTTTAGACAAGTGAAATGAAAGCTGACAGAAATAAAAGAAGAGTATACATTATTCAAGATTTGAAATAAAACCCAAGTGAAAATCTTGTTTAATTAAATATAAAAAGAAAATATTCTCATCTATAATACAGGTGAAACTAGAACATGGCTATTTCAAATCTTATATACAAAGATTTGATGATAGATTTGACTTAATAGAATGCTTATTCTGTAATACAAATGAGAATTCTGAGCATATTATAATACACTGTGCATTATACAATAGTCTCAGAGCCAGATTGAAAGAGAAGTATGATTTAAATCAATTAAATATGAGATTCTTATTCTCAACTGAGACAGGAATTAAATACTTAATAGACTTTCTATCAGAAACTCAAGCAGCTATAAGAAAATGGCTAAATTCAGAAATATCTGAATATGAAGAGAAGAAAATCAATCAGATATAGTCTGTTAAAACAGCTATATACTATTTTTTAATAATTTGTTTTGTTACAGTCTCTCTTTACTTTATCTTTTTCTTTCAATTCCTTTCTATCTATCTATTTAATGTGTCTATCTTTAAGACTGTGTTCTCTTTTCCTTTGTCATGAGATTGTCAAATGATTTCAAAGTATCAGAAGATGTTAAAACACTACAATTTGTAAACAGTTTTTGTATTCTGAGCTGGAATTTTCTGATTTTGTATATCTGAAATTGATGAATGTATAATAGTTAACTTTACAGATATAGGAAAAACCCTGAGAACTAAAAGTTCTCAGGTAGATGTCATAGTCTCTGACTGCATACATCTATAATTGAAGAATAATAATAATAATAATAATTAACTGCAGCTGAGAAATATATACTATGTATAACAGTTTCTTAAGTTGATCTCATACTACTGCAGATTTATCAAAGATTTTGTATAAATAGCTGCATCACTCTTAGATCTCTTAAGAGAAACAGATGTTAATCTGTAAAAGAAGAAGTTTTATTCAATTATCTGAAATACTGTGTATGAAGAGATCTTTCTCATATTGAGAAAATGTGTGATAATATTCTCAGTACTTATTTAATCAGATTGTGATAAATCTTTCTATATTAAGATAAATACATCTGAATGAGCTATTAGAGACACTCTTCTATAGATGAGTAAGAATAACAAGCTGCACTCAGTGATGTATAATAGTAGAAAACTATCAGGCACTCAACTCAAATACTCAGTGTATGAAAAGAAATTACTGATAATTAAGCATGGACTGATGTTATGAGATAGATATATTAATAATAAGTATATAATAATAATAATTATAGATTATAAAAGCCTTGTCTATCTATAATTAATAATAAAATCTTTCAAATACTTAGTATGTTGAATCTCAGAGTTTCAAGTATACAATCTTTATATTAAACACTGAAAGAGATTGAATACTGTAATATCTAATATAATCAGTCACAGATCTGATTTTATAAGTAAGAGTTCTGTGAATCAGATATAAGAGAAGTTTGTATTAA